AGGTGTTCAGAATGGTTTGATCCCTATCCAGCTGAATTTCTGGGACCAGAGGAAATCCAGGTCTCCTACTCCTCCGCCATCCTGGACTCCCAATCTGGTGTGATTTTGAATACAGTGATTCTATTCTGTATTTAAATGAATTCATTTCAGTAAAAATAGAAGTGGGAGTTGATTTTTTTTTTTTTTTTAAGATTACATAACAGGAGTTCCCAGATTTGGTCACAATGGTGAAGGTAGTTCTGGAATGTTTGAGAAACTCTGGTCCAGGAGGGCATGTCTCAAGACCTGACTCATGAACAAAGGATCCAGTCAGTGGCCACATGAGTATGGAAAACTCACAATGAACATGAACACATGAAAAACTCCATTCAGTCCTATGATAAAAGTTTTAAAGCAAAGTTGCATTTAACAGCACTTTTTTCTGTAGAGTTTGCAAGAAAGGCATCCATAACCCAGGCACATCTAGAATTTCCATTCAGCCCATTGATTCTGTTTCTATGTAAGAAGAATCAAATGCCATCAGGGACATGTTAGAGCGACTTCCTTCCCATTTGGGGAGACTGAAGGTCAACACACTGAGGGTAATCAGAGTTGAGACTGCATAGAAATTTGGCCTCCAGCTCCCCGTTTTAACTTAAAAAGCATTTTTTTCAATGGTCAGGTTTCTACTCCGATAAGGCTGCATAACACACCTCAGGGGCTTACGGTGTTTCTCACTCACACGTTTGGGGAATCGGCAGTGACTCCGCTGGGATCGCCTCCAGGTTCTGCTCTGTTCCATATATATCCTCTCACCATGGGACCATCACTCACTGCGGCCATTGGGCACATTCTTCTCCTGACAGATGGCAGAAGTGAAGGGAGCCAAGCCACACCACCCACACACACTTCCCGTGTCAGGTCCCTAGCACTCCAGTAGTGGTCAAAGCAAGTCATACGGTCAACCCAATATCAGTGGGGTGGGGAGTAGACTCCACCTGCTGTAGTGAAAGGCGTTGCAAAGTATAACGTAATTCTGCTACCTCAGAAGACAGTTACGATTCACAGCTCTGACAGCTCTGCTGCCTAGAGCAGCAGAAGAGAGTAGCTCAGAGCTCAAGCAACTTGGGCAGCCTAGGTTCGAATCCCGACTCTGCACTTGCTAGCTGGGTGCCCCAGGTAAGTGACCTCTCTGCCTCGGCTTCTCAGTCTGTCAAAATGGATGATCAGAATCCCCCTAAACAGCTGACACAAGGGAATAGTGCATGTTCCCAGCAGAGCACAAGTGCTCAAAAATAAGAGCTGTGTTATTATAACTACTATTGATACTCTTCCTCTGCTTCTCTTCAAGGCCCTCCACCAGCCTCAGTTTATCTCTAAAATGGGAATTCTATTAATTGCCATTTCATAAGGATTGCCGTGACAACAGTAAATGAATAACCTAAGTCAGTGTTCCCCAACAGAGTGGGGAAGCATTTTGCCTCCCAGGAGATATCTGGCAACATCTGGAGACATTGTTTTTTTCAACTGGAGGAGGTGCTCCAGGCATCTCCTGGGTGGAGACCAAGGACGCCCCCAAACATCCCCCACGAACAGGGCAGCCCCCTCAGCAAAGCCTCATCCTGCCCCACGTGACAGCCAGTAATGCCGAGGCTGAGAAATCCCGATGTGGGCGAAACGCTTAGCAGAGCACCTAGCAGACCGTAAAGTCAGAGAGGGACCACTATTTTTAGCACTGCTGTTTTCCTTTTGGTTACTACACTCGCTGACACCGTTGGGAGGAGCTAAGATCTGAATCCAGTGTGTCTGGATTTATTCAGCTGTCCGCACACCTGGGAAGGAGGCAAATATGAAGGGGTGGTCATCAACGGGTAGCAAGAAAAAAACTGGGCAGGGGAGTCAACCTGAGGGCCAAGTCTGTCACCAGGCTGCCACCTGTGGACGTGTGAATCCTGGCGCCTCTCCCTCCTAAATCATGTCACCTGGTGCCCTCCGCTGTGAAGTGGGTCTGGCGCCCCTGCGCCAGCCAGCTGTGTCGACTCCAGAGCCCGCTTCAAGCCTCTGCACTCCCTCTTCTGTGTCACTCTGGGCAAGCCATTGAGCCCCTCTGTGCCCTCATGCTGTCACCACTCACGTGGGGATGGTGACAGTGTGCACACTGCTTGAGGACGAGCCGATCATTGCTTGGCCCTCAGGAGGAGGCTGCTCCCAGCAAGCACTCGGTTCGGGTTAGGGGTCCCCACCATCCTGGGTGCTCAGCAGCCGTCTTTTCTTTCTCCCGTTCTTGCGGGTGCAGGGAAGGAGAGCTGTTTCGAGAGGATAATGCAGCGATTCGGCAGAAAAGCCGTCTACATCGTGATCGGTGACGGCGTGGAAGAAGAGCAGGGAGCAAAGAAGGTACTCTGTCCACCTCTCAGACTCCACTTCTCCTCTTGAGACAGGCTCGTGGGTCTCCTGGGCTCTTTACGAGGATTTCCCCCACCGCCCCCACCGCCCCTACCCCGGCGCTGGCTGGGTCCCTTCCTTCCCAGGCTCTTAGCTCCCTGGTCCCTTCCCATTTGCAGTCGCAGAAGCATCATGAGTAATTTCCTTCTGCAAATCCCCCTCGGTGCCTTTGGCTGCCGCCCCTCGTAGCCCTAGATTTTTTCTAGGACAACTGCTCGGGAGCCCGGAGACACTCTGTCAGGCAGGCTGGTGGGGGGCTGGTGCACGTGTGCGCTTTATTCCATACTTACTGATCATATGTTCCAGGAACCCTTCCCAGTTAATAAAGACAGCATTAAGCTAATGAGAAAGAAAATCCTACATTTGTGATCTTGGGCCCATGAGGAGAGAGGCAGGGGGTTCTGGTGGCCCCAGCTCTGCTCTTGGAAAAGGAACAGCTGCCCCAGTGCTGGGTCTGGACCTGTCAACAGCATCCCAGAGAGCCTGCCACCCCCCCACCCCCACCCAGAGGCCTGGGAAGTGGGCTGTTAATGTCACAGAGCTTAATCGGGAGGACCTGGTTTCCCCCTTCCCTCCCCAGCAGCAAATTCCAGGGAAATGCAGAAATGTTCAGAGTCTCAGCGGACAAAGCTGAAAAAGAGGGTCCCAGGAGATGGCCCTGGGGGCGGAGCTAGAAGGCCTTGCCCCCTGCGAGGTTCCTCCCCTTCCCCTCCCCCAGGCTCCAGCAACACTTCAGAGGGAAGAATTCCCTGCTCAGGTACCACTCTGGTCTTCCAGAGACACAGGCCTGCCTGCAGCTCCCTCCCCCAGCTGTCCATACTCTGTTGGGAGCCTCGGCGACCGGGCCCTTAGACGCAAACACTGCGGCTAGTGGGTGAGCTCCATTAGCTGTGCAGCTACTGCGTGCCAGTGACTGTGGCAGGTGCTGGGGAGCCTGCCGTGAGCAGAAGGGACAGGCTCTCGCCCTCACTCAGCTCCAGCCTGGGGCAGGCAGGAGACACAGGAGTGTAACGTGTGTGAGGTGGTGACCAGAGCTTTGGAGAAAAATAAAGCAGGGACTGTGGGGGCGGGGCCGGCTGCCAGTGTGCACAGTGGTCAAGGCAGGCCTCGCTGCCAGGTGACATCCGAGCAAAGAGAGGAGGAGAGGCAGTGAGCCAAGTAGATGTCAGAGGGAAGGCAGTCCCAGAGAGGAACCAAGAGATTCCAAGGTCCGGAGGCTGGAGCTGCCAGCATGGCCACAGTGGTGGGCCCGGCGGTGGAGAGTGCCCAGGAGGGGAGGCCCAGGAGGAACCTGAGCACTTCTTTTTAAAGCATATTTAACTTTAAAAATGAATTGATTTAGCGAGAAAAATATTAAGTAAATAATTGTAATAGAGGTGATACACAAGGACTGGTCAAGGCAATAGCATGAATCACAGGAATTACCACAAATTACTGGTGTCCCAGAAGCACCATGCCAGGTCAAGAGCATGGTCTGTGTGATGAGACTAGCCACTGCCAGGGCCTCTAGAGCTCCCCTCCCCGCCCCGGCCAAGCTGAGTTCTAACACAGAACTCTGCCCTCAACATGGGACAGCGATCAAAATAAAGCTCTGCTTCGAGCACGGTTGGACTGGAGAAGCAGCGTAGGCCTGCGGCCCCTGGCCCCTCACCAGCCCTCCGGCCCTCTCCCAGACAGGGACAGGGACCTCGGCGGAGCTGCCCCTGACCTGTTCCCACCCTCTTGCCGTTGGGAGTTTGTCAGGGCAGCATAGTAAATGTTTGGAAATGACCCCTTTACTCTCCTGAAATGAAATACTAATGGTCATGAGCACTATAACCATAATGGCTGAAAGGTCAAGATCTAATGGTGTTACCAAAGAGAGAGAAAGGGAAAGTTATTTACACTCACAGTAACCTGCGCTTCCACACGTAAATGTTCAGGCACAAAATCCCAGGGCTTATACCCACGCGTGCCGTGGCCGTGACAGGGACACAGGTGCACAGCCTTGGCCATTCAGGAGCCAGGTGAGGGGCTGCGGCTGATTTCTCCAGACTGCTAAGCAGCTCCTAGAGAGATCCTGAATAAAACAAGACACAGACTTCCATTGCTGTACACAGTAGTTGCACTCCTAGAAATGAAGGTTTTATTAAAAGCATGGACAAGATTTGATTTCTGTGTAACAGGTACAGTGTTAAGAGTCCAGGCTCAGATTACTACGTACAGGTTTGTACTTACTGGACTATCTGACAGGACGTTTGAAAACCAGTCAGATCCCAGGTGCGTGAGATGAGGCAGGACTCCACCGGCACCTGCCCCTAAATCATTAGAAGTCGAAATTCACAGCTTTAGAAATTTCCACAGTGACCCCTAGAGGGGCAGGCTTTTCCTCCTTTGAGAACAGCTAGTCTGGGCTCTCCTTCCTGTACCGGACCAGGCACCTCCCCGGCCTCACCCTACCGCGAGCCCTGCTCCCACAGAACGATGCGGCCAGGGGCGCACATTTTTACCCTAAGTCCTAGCTCTGCCCCTTGGGCTGTGTGGCCTTCAGCAGGTGGCGCCCCCTCTCTGAGCAGCGCTTCCTAAGCTGGACCAGCCGCCGCGCAGATGCGCCTCGGGCTGAGCGGAGGGACCTTGCCGAGGGCGTGTGGAGCCTCTGGTATCACTCCCCGGACAGTGGGGCGGGGCAGGAGGGAGAATACGACCGTTAGAAATTCAGAACCAGCGGGGAAAGAAAAGATGAATGCTGATCTGCACATGAGGTGAAAGCTCACCCAAATCGCTCGTTGGCTCAGAGCCCATGGGAGACGCACATGACCGAGACCGGCGGAGGGGTGGAGAGGATGGTCTCCAGCAGGGGCGGGGGCGGGAGGGTCTCAGCTGGGCCACTGCCGCCCAGGTTCTGTGCAGTGGGGTTGGGGAAGCCAGAGACGCTCGGCAGTCGTTAGGACAGCGGAGAGAGCGGCCACTCCCCTGTAACACACCGTGGGCTTCAGGCCCGGCTGCGCCAGCGCCGGGGACCCAGGCCCCCTCCATCTTGTTGCTCTGCCGGCCCGGGGCTGCTCTCTCGCCACCATCCCCCCCACCCCCGCTGTCTGGACGGCGGCCCCTGGCAAGGGAAAGGGGTAGGCTTCCCCATCGCTATAACGGCCCAGGGGACACAGGTGGACCGCACTGCTGCTCGCACCCCAGCGGCCAGACCTGGGTCACGTGGTCACACCCTGTGCGTCTCTAGCTCGCAGATGTCGCCCTTCTGAGCCACCACGTACCCAGCTCAGAAAAACGGGGGCTGCGGGGGGTGGGGGGGCTGGCAGTCTCCATCACAGCTAGCCTGGGGCAGGGCTGTCACTGGCACCGAGGGGTGCCCGACCTAATCGCACACCCGTACCCCTCCTCTTGATTACTGGCATCCTCCTGTCATTGAATCCTCCAACCCCCCTGCAGATGGGGTGTCCTTTGCTTCATTTTACGGAGGTTGTATTTGAGACTCAGGGAGGTTAAGTAACATACCTCAGGTCACACAGCTGGTACAGGCAGACTGAGGTGTGTTTTGCTCCAAACACCAAGCAGGAAGGAGGTGGACCTAGGAGTTTCAAACACTCCGTCCTCACCCTGAGCTGGGGTCTTCTACCAAGGAAGACCAGGGCGCAAACACCCCCATCCACTGAGCTCCCCTAAAAACCTCTGCGACTGAAGCAGCAGCCCCAGCCCGTTAGCGAGGAGCGCTGTGCACCAGCCGCTCCCCCGGCCTGATGGATGGGAGTCATTAACCCAGGCTGCTGGACACCTGAGCAGCATGAAATACGGCGACAGGACAAGGGGCTGGGACTGCTGGGGCTGACAGTGTTGTTAATATCTCCGTTTTAGTGGGTCATTTGTCTCCACCTCTCCACAAGTGATAAATCCACCTGTGCTCTAGGCCGGGGATGGAGATGGCTGAGACAGTCTCTCCCACCTTTGCTCTCACCTCCCAGAAAAATGAATTACATTCTTTAAAAGGGGACAGGATTGGCCGGGCAGGAACCAAAATCCATCTTTGCAGAGAAAGGACGGCTTGGCTGCGGTGAGGAGGGGGTGAGGAGAGGGTGGGGGAGCGGGGGCACCTGGAAGGCATTAAAGAAATGGCATCCGTTGCCCATGATGGATAGTACGCTGCTTCCTCTGAGCAAGAGAGAAAAAGAGGTGTTCGCTGAGAACTTTGAGAAGCCCGCCTTCCTCCTTGTCCCCTCTCCCTTCCTCTTCATTCCTTCCCGGTGCGTTTCTTGAGCACCTACTGTGTGCCAGGAGCCATGCTATGCAGCAGTGAACGTGACATTCCAAGCTCGAACTGTCTTCAGGGCCTTTGCACCTGCTTTGTCTTCTGCCTCGACTACCTCCCCCCACAGGTTTGCACCTCCTTCTTGCCCTCTGCGGGCTGCTTAACTGTCACCCCCTAGAGAGGCCTTCCCTGACCCCAGCTATCAGAATAGACACCCTCCCCCAGCTGCTTTCGGCCCTGCCTCCCTGTTCTGTTTCTGCTTTCGGCCCTCCCTCCCTGCGGGCGGCAAATAGGCTGCCCATTTCACACACCTCAGTCTGCCTGTACCACTTGTTTCCACAGGTTAAACAAGTGCTCACCACAAACACAAAACCATCTTGTTCATTTTGTGCCTGTGGATGCCTTCTCTGTGACTCCAGTGGGGACCCTGTGTGTGTGTGTCAGCTGAGGAGGGCCCACGGAGCGCATGGCAGTGAACCATCAGACACAGTCCCAGCCCTCTGAATCATCTCCCCATCTCAAGATCCTTCACTTAATCACGCCCACAAAATCTCTTTATTCACAGGTTCTAGGGATCAGTTGGACATCTTTGGGGGCTATTATATAAAGAGATGGCAGAGTGATAAGTGCAGGGCTCCCAGAGGCAGGAAAGGATCTGATGTGTTCCAGGAGCCAAAAGGATGCCTGTATAGTTTCTAGCCTGTGGACATGGAACCTCACAGGGCAGAACTCCAGGCATCCAAATGTTCATCAAGCACCATCTGTTCACTTCATAAATAATTTAAGGCCAGTGACTGTCCTGTGGAGGCTATCTTTTAGCTGCAGGTAGCAGAAAGCCTATGTAATGGTGTTAAACACTTGCTCACCTTATAAGATTAGAAACAGTTGTGCCCTAGGTTGTTGCCATGGGTCAGAAATTCACCAAGCATCCCTTTCTGTCATTTTGCTCTACCCTTCTAACCATCTTTGGCGTTTTCTGATTTGTTGCCTCGTGACCTGAAAATGGCTGCCACAGCTCCAGGCATCACATGCTAACATGACAGCATCCAAATAGGAAGGGAAAGTAAGGAGGAAGGCGTTCTCTCCTCAGGTGCCTCCGTCTAATCCTGGAGGAAAACCTTTCCCAGAAGCCCCTCACCACCTTCCTCATTGGCTTCAGTGGGTCACAAGTCAAGAGGAATACAAGACCTGGGGCGCCTGGGTGGCTCAGTCAGTTAAGCATCTGCCTTCAGCTCAGGTCATGATCTCAGGGTCCTGGGATCAAGCCCTGCATTGGGCTCCCTGCTCAGTGAGGAGTCTACTTCTCCCTCTCCCTCTGTCTCTGTCCCCCACTCATTCTCTCTCTCTCTCCAAATAAATAAAACTTAAAAAAAAAAGGGGGGGGGGATACAGGACAAATCCCTGGCAAACAGGGCTGGGGTTGTCACAGCTTGCTTAGATGATCATAGCTCATCCGCTAGGTCTGGGCACAGTGCTGCCAAATTCTGAGTTCTGGAAGCAAGAAAGAAGAGAGAGTGATACTGGGCAGGCAACAACTTTAGCCAATGACTAAATCTTCCAGTGATAAAAGTGCAGTCAGCTTTCTTCTCTGGAGCCTGAGCCACCTCTCCGGGGCTCAGTCTCCTCATCTGTGAAGTAAGACAGAGTGCCTCCCTGATGAGCATCAGTGACCAGGTTAAACAAGGTCATGTGTGTGGCACAGAACACGCACTCTCACCAAATGTTAATGACCATGTGGTGACCGTGACCGTGAGGGCAGTTCGTTCAGGCTTGCCGGCCAGTTTAACTTTGGTTGAATCAGTTCTCTTTCTCGCTCTCATGCCCACTTGAAAAAGGGGCTTGTGCTTTTGTCTGGACAGTCCAGTGAGCTAGGAAGCACACAGCACCAGCACAGGGGCTGGCTCCGGAACGGGAGCTTTAAGAGACTACTGTTTAAGACACTGGGTGTCACAGGCTGACACCGTGAAATCCAAACTCTGCATCGTGACACCGAGGAACTCGCTGGCCAGCCTCTCCCCACCCCCGGCCCTGCACACGTGCACACGCACCCCGCACGACGACCGTGTGTCCCTCGCCCTTGCGTCCTCGTGCGCCTAGACGTAATCGTAATAGCAGCCGGGAGTGGACGGGCCGGGCGCCCGCAAGAGCCGCAACAGCTGTGGGCGGCAAATAGGCTGCCCATTTCACAGGCGAGAACACTGACGTCGTCCCATCCAACGAGGCCGGCCGGCCCGACCCTGGCTGGCACCGGCTCCGTCAGTCCATTTGGCGATGAGCAAACGTTAGGGAGGGGTGCGAGACACACGAGCCCCCTAGCTGAGACTTTCTTCTCGAGGTAGCAGGACCGAGGACAACTTTTTAAGAAGGAACGGCCTTCTCACTGCCTGATTTCATTCCGGGTCAGCGCGCCACCTAGGACCTAGGACCTTCCCAGAGACGGCGGGAGGGTCAGACCGTGTGCCAGGCTGCTCGGGATGAGCCGGGCGGCCCGGGCTCCGAGGGAACGGACCCCGGTGCGGCCCGACCGGTGGGCACTGGCCGGGGGTGGGGCGTGGGGAGGGGTCTGCCCTGTGGTTCGGGAGACGCCCACAGGCCACGCCACCTCGGGTGGCCTTGGCATCGGGCTCTGACCCGGGGGGGGGGGGGGGGGGGGGGGGGGGGGCCCTAACCGCGCAGCTGCCGTTCTGTGTTCCAGCACAACATGCCTTTCTGGCGGATATCCTGCCACGCCGACCTGGAGGCGCTGAGGCACGCGCTGGAGCTCGAGTATTTATAGCAGAAGCCACGGCCTCGCCACCTGCCGTCACGGGCGCATCCCGCCCCCTCCCAGGCCCTCGCCTTCCCCGCCTCCCCGCCAGATGCTGGACGCCGGGCAGGGTCCCTGCGGCCGAGAGGACGTGCCTGGTGACCATCTCAGCGGCTGTCCCTTTAGGCCAAGCGCGGGTCCGGAGACGCAGAGTACCCCACCGTGGCTTTGGGGAATATTTAACTTTGGAGAAAAGGGCTGGCTCGGAGTCCAGCCTTTTCCACGAGACTCAACAGAACAAAAGCGAGGAATTGCCGATTTGGGGGAGGGCTGGTGATGAGGAGGGGACAGGCTTGGGTTTGTCTGTTTTGTTTTGTTTTTTTTCCTTTTTAATTTATGGACTAATGTCATTACTCCGGTATTATGCTCTCGTACCTGCGTTGGTTTTCTTAGTCGTTGGTTTGGTTTGGTTTTCTAACCTGGCATGTGGGGTGGTGCAGTTCTCACTTAAGCACTGTCTGCTCCAAGTTGTGCTTTGGGGGGACAATCATTCTTTGAACAATTGGTGAGGGAGGCGATTCGGGGCTGATGGGAAGACTCTTGCTTCTTTTTGTTTTTAAGGACCTAACCTGACGTCATGTGGACAGTGCACGTGCCTTATGCTGCCATCTTGTTTTCTAGGAAGAGGGACCCTGGGGAAGCGGCGGTACTTTGTGACAGATAAAAGGCATTAAATAAAACCACGTTTACATTTTGAAGTGGGGTAGGGTGTCACTACTTTATGACCACTCTTCAGGCTTCCATTAGAGGTACTAAGAGACTTTCAGCCATCCACAGAGGAGGTTTGGGTGAAACAGACCTGCCCCATAGTCCTGAAATTAGCTACCCAGGTGGTCAACTACTTTTCTCTTGTGAGGATTAAATGTCCAATGCTGGTTCCGAGGGAAGCTAGCAGTCCACAGTCTGTAAGTGTTTTAGCCTGAATTCTAGAGGACTCAGAGCTCCCAGTGGTCAAGGATAGTGTCTTCCTCATTCTGTATACTCAGTACCCGTAATAGTCTGACACAGATAATGGCACTTAATGAAGGCTGAAGGATGGATGGAAGGATGGACAGGATGGACGGACAGACGGATGGTCAGACAGATGGACGGCAGATGGGTTATGGACGGGTGGTGGGTGGATGGAGGGATGAAGGAATGGATGATGGATGGGTGGGTGGTGAATAGCTAAGATTCACTGGCCCCAGGCTGCTTAATCTTCACTGTTTCCCCAGCAGTGTCTTGCAGCTCCTGAGAACAATCTTAGAAGTAGAGTAACTGGAGTATTCAGCACTCACAAACAAAAGCCCTTGGCCTCCCAGAAGTCTGAGCATGACTTGAGAACTTCCTAACCAGCCCAGCCAAAGGACAGAGACTCAACAAGTCCTCAGGTCAACCTCTGGGGCTGAAGGTATCTGCCTGTCCAAGGGCTTTAGAAATCAGAGAGCCACCACTGGGATTTCTTTCCATTGCAAAGGACAGAAACACAACAAAGTGGCTTAAACAAAACAAAAACACAGAATTCTTTGGCTTACTTGACTGAAAAGTTTAGGGATGTGTGACCTCAGACACCCCCATCCCAAATGCAGAATTCAAGATACAGCTTTAAATTTTTTAATTCAGTCTCTTTCTCTCCATCTTTGGACTCTTCAGTTTGGTTTCATTTATAGGCAAGAGTCCACATACTTAAGAGTAGAAGATTTCTATTGATAAAGCATTAATTCTTAAAAGGACAACTGTTTTGGAAAAAAAGGTTAAATTTATTATGTGAGTTAACAAATGTCCTCATGGTTCAAATATTTTAAGTTGGTTCTTCCTTAGTTATTTGCAACCAAAAGCATCCCAACTTATATAGCACATAATAAATAGTGTTATTAGTAGTAGTAGTATTATCTCACAGGCTCAGATTTCTACTCAGGAAATCGAACATTCATATTACCAACAACTGGAGCTGGGTATTTTTCATCAGATATTAATCAAGTACCTAAAATGCACTGGCAGGGGCGCCTGGGTGGCTCTCAGTTGAGTGTCTGCCTTCGGCTCAGGTCATGATCCAGGGTTCTGGGATCCAGTCCCACATCAGGCTCCCCGCTCAGTGGGGAATCTGCTTCCCCTCTCCCTTTGCACCTCCCTCTGCTTGTGCTCTGTCTCTCAAATAAATAAATAAAATCTTTAAAAAAATTTAAATGTGACAAGAGCAAAATTTAATCCCCTTAATATATAAAGAGCTCTTAGAAACCCGTTAACAACCAACCAGATCTTTTAAAATGGCTGGCGGGGGGGGGGGTACACCTGGGTGGCTCAGTTGGTTAAGTGTCCGACCCTTGGTTTCAGCTCAGGTTGTGATCTCCGGGTCACGATATCGAGCCCCGCATCAGGCTCCATGCTGAGCACAGAGTCTGCTTTGGATTCTGTCTTCCTCTCCCTCTGCCCCTCCTGCTCATGCACGCTTTCTCTCTCTTGCTATCAAATAAATCTTAAATATATATATATATACACACACATATATATATTTATAAATAAAATGCTTGCAGCTAGGGGTGCCTGGCTGGCTCAGTCAGGGGAGCATCATGCGACTCTTGATCTTGGGGTTGTGGGTTCAAGCCCCACACTGGAGAGATTACTTAAAAAAATAAGATCTCTAAAAAAAATTTTTAATAAAATGCCTGAAGGCTGTAAAACAGACATTTTACCTTTTTTTTTAAGATTTTATTTTTTAGGGTGGCTCAGTTGGTTAAGCATCTGCCTTCGGCTCAGGTCATAATCCCAGGGCCCTGGGATTGAGTCACAATTCAGGTTCCTTGCTCGGCAAGGAGCCTGCTTCTCCCTCTGCCTGCCGCTCCCCCTGCTTGTGCTGACAAAATCTTTAAAAAAAAAAAAAAAAAATTTTTTTTTTAAGTAATCTCTCTATCCAGTATGGGGCTCCAATCCACAGCCCTGAGATCAAGAGTCACATGCTTCACTGACTCAGCCAGCCAGCCAGCCCTACATTTTTTTCAAAAAAAAAATAAAACTGCTTCTTGGGGCACCAGCTGGCTCAGCTGGTAAAGCATGCAACTCTCCATATCTCAGGGTTGAGAGTTCAGGCCCCAACAATGGGTGTAAAATAAAATCTTTTACAAAATAAAACTGCTTCTTAAACTTACAAAAAGATGGTCAAGGGGCGCCTGGGTGGTTCAGTTGTTTAAGCGACTGCCTTCGGCTCAGGTCATGATCCTGGAGTCCCGGGATCAAGTCCCACATCGGGCTCCCTGCTCAACGGGGAGTCTGCTTCTCCCTCTGACCCTCCCCCCTCTCATGCTCTCTCTCAAATAGATTTTTAAAAAAATGGTCAATCTCACACATACATTGAGATACCACTTTCCACATCAGATTGGCAAAAATAGAGGAGTTGTGGGACTCCTAATACCAGTGAAGCTGTGGGGCCCATCACAGATTGCTGGCGGAAGCTGAAATTGGCACGACTCCTCAGGAGGGAAAGTTGGCAATATCTACCCAATTTGTAAATTGTATCCAGCAATTCCACTTCTGAGAGTCAATCTGTAGATATATTTATGTAGGTGTGAAAACTCCATACAGATTTATTTTTCTACAACATTATAATAGCAAAGAATGAGAACAACCCAAACACCCATCAGTGGTGAACTGGTTAAATGAGGATACGGCCACAGGATGGAATACTACGCAACCATGAAAAAGAACAAGAGTATTCTCTATGTATCAGTCTGGGAAGATCACCTACACGTATCATCACTAAGTGAAAAAGGCCATTTTCAGAACAGCATGTGGCATATGCCACCTTTCATATAAAATGGAGAAAAAAAAATGGGACACCCAGATGGCTCAGTCGTTAAGCATCTGCCTTCTGCTCAGGTCATGATCCCAGGGTCCTGGGATCGAGCCCCACATCGGGCTCCCTGCTCCGCGGAAGCCTGCTTCTCCCTCCCCTACTCTCCCTGCTTGTGTTCCCTCTCTCACTGTCTCTCTGTCAAATAAATAAAATCTTTAAAAAATAAATAAAATGGAGAAAAAAGTAAAACCTGCAGAATCGTATCTGCAAAAAGAAACTTTGGAAGAAGATAGAAGAAATTAATAAAAACAGTGACCCATTGGAGCTATCAGACATATGGGTAAGTGGGAGAGTGTCTTACTTGTATATTGAATGCTGTGATTACATTACTGATCTTGAAAATCAGATATCAGTCCTAGAGACTTCTCTGTCATAGCCCGTCGCTGTAGGTAGCTTGTTTCTAGCCAGTTTCCCAAGCAGCAACACTAGCCCTTTCCTGTGGGGCTCAGGGTGCCAGTGTGAGGCTGGAGACAGCTGGGCTGTGAATCAGGCAGCCTCCTCCTTGCCCGTCCCAGGAAGCCTGGTCTCTGCCAAAAGCGAGGCAGTGGTGGTCTCCATGGTCGGAGCCAGGGACGCCCGATAAAGCCCCATCCCATTTCAGAGCAGCTGTGCTAGCCGTTCGTTCATTCTGCCAGGGGAAGCCAGGGGAAGCCAGGGGAAGCCAGGGTCTACCATTTACCAGGTGCTCTTCTGGACCTGTGGGCAAGGATGAGAAAACAGACCGAGGCAGTCCCGACCCCCACGGAGCAGACTTTGCTGCAGAGGGGAGGCGACACAAGCCGGCGAATTAACCGCGAGACGCAGACTTTCCCACTCATCGCCTGTCCTTCAGGACGAACAGCAGAGTGCCAGCGGCCACAAGCAGGACACCAGCCCACACGCCCCAGACCCTGGACACTCCCTGCGCACAGGCTTGACCACAACCCACGTCCCCTTCCGAGAACCACGTGGAGGGCAGAACAGCAGCTGTGGGACCCTCAGCAGGGAGGAGAAGGTGGATCTTGGAGGCCTAAGTCAGCCAATTTCAAAAAGCAAGCCTGAGGGGCACCGGGGTGGCTCAGAAGGCCAAGTGCCTGACTCTTGGGCTCAGCTCAGGTCTTGATCTCAGGTTTGTGAGTTCGAGCCCCGCACTGGACTCCACTCTGGGTGTAGAGCCTAC